GTAGTGCCTAAGGCATTTGACTGCTAACCAGAAGGCCAGAGGTTCAAACCCACCAGCCACTCCTTGGAAGGAAGACTGGGCAATCTACTTCCACAGTGATACTGCCTTGGAAACCCAAGGCGGGGTCGCTATGAGTCGAATCAACTCAACAACAGTGAGTTTGGTTTGGGTTTTATGTAATACCAAAACAAAACAAAACAAACTTCCTTTTTTTTCATCTTAGTTTGAAACTATCAATGCTGTAAAAAAAAAAAAAAAAAGTTATTCCACATGAGCATTTAATATAAGAATTAAAGCAAAATTCATTGAATTAAAAAAATAAACCAATTCTGAGCAGCAATACACTGAAAAATATTTGCAGTGGTCCTCACGCACTGTTGGCCTTTGAAGACAGGGAAAATGAGTTAAAGACGCTGACTTCTTTCTAAAAGCTTAAGGGGAAGGAGTGTAGCTTCATTTTTCTGTGATGATCCATCTGGAGTTTAATTACTTCATCAAAAGGAGGAACGTTCTCTTGATTAGAAAGCACTCAGAACATGATAGGATGCATTTTCTAAAGGAAACAACCTCTCCAGATATTTGAGGGCTCTTAAGCATACTCTGTCTTTTCAGAAGTTAAAACGTTGGCTATAAAATCAGTAAATAGACTTTCTGCGAGGCCCATGTAACTTTTATATCTCAAAATTTACCATTGATTTCCCACCCCCCAAGGATTTTTAGATAAAATTGATTTTTAAAATATTGATCTAAGATGGCCAGTTCAGTTTAGATAAAAATGCCAGATATCTCTTATCTTAGAAGTCTGTTGTGAGGAATGGCATTACATTGCCAGAAACCTACATCAGTGAATGAAGAAAATTACCTACAAGTCTCACTTCACTGCACATAGAAAGCCTTGTTGTTGTTGTTGTTGTTACGTGCCGTCAAGTTGAACCCGACTCATAGAGACCCCTCCTTGGGTTTCCGACATGGTATCACTGCAGAAGTAGATTGCCCAACCTTCCTTCTGAGTGGCTGGTGGATTTGAACTGCCAGCTTTCTGGTTAGCAGTCAAGTGCCTTAGGCACTACACTAACAGAGCTCCCATAGAAAGCCTAGTGGATAAATAGTTCTAATGAGATCCCAGACTCTGTCAAGGGGCCCTCTCTGTTCTGAGGCCCAGAGGAGCTTCACAGGCACCAACCTGGCCCATGTCCCCTGACCACCAGGTAGATGAACACATCTGTGAACAGGACCTGCTTAGAAAAGGATAGAGAACACTCATGCACAAGGCACATGAAATTCAAAACTTACCTATTTAAAAATTTTCAAGTTCAAAATTGCTCACAGCAGACTATCCTCAGGTACCAAGCCCTTAAGTAATATTGGTGGAGCAGGCCAAAGAGGAAGGAAAGCTTTTCCCTCACCACTTCCCTCCCATAGATCCCTGGGTGATACAAATGGTTTACACTCAGGTACTGACAAGAGGATTAAAAAACAAAACCAAACTCACTGCTGTCCAGTCTCTTCCGACTCATGGATTTCAAAGTAAAACTGCTCCATAGGGTTGTCTTTACTGAAGCAGATTATCAGGCCTTTCTCTGTGGAGTCACTAGGTGGGTTCAAACTGCCAACCTTTAGGTTAGTGGCTGACTGTAAACCATTGTCACCCTACAGGGTAAGATTATAGCCATTGAAAACCCCATGGGGTGAAGTTCCACTCTGAAACGTGGAGTTGCCATGAGTCTAAATCAACTCCACAGCAATAGGTTTGGTTTTGGTTTCCATTCCCCTCCTTACTACCAAGTGCTTATTTTCTGAGTTTTAGGAATATTTGTTCCCTCCTCTGTTCAAATTCTCACCAGATAAGATGACCACTGTTAATTTGAAATTGTCTTTCCCCCATTAACTGTGCATTCCTGGATGCAGGGATATTGCACTACTGATCTCTGTATCCCTGGCACCTAGGATGGGACCTGGTACGAAAAAGGCCTCAGTGAATGTTAATGAATAATGAAATTGAAGGATAGCGGAAATAAATATAGTGTTTAGGGAATGCAAGAATAAAGGAAAAAGTTCTTTGTCACAGCCATAGAAATATAAGTTGTCTAATGAAAGGAAGTGGTTTGCAAATATGTATTTTCTCAGATAACAAAATTACTGTTGTTGTTTAAAGCCACTAAGATTTGGGATGGTGTGTCACAAAGCCAGAGGGGCTGGAGCAGACTGTGGTGTCTAGAAGTGGGATGCTACCAAGATAAAGTCCTAAACCAGCCTCTCTTCCTCCCAGAACACGTGTCTCTCTTTTGTTGTTGCTGTTAGGTGCCATCGAGTCAGTTCTGACTCATCGTGACCCTGTGAACAATAGAACAGAACGCTGCCAGATCCTGCACATCCTTGCTGTGCTTAAGGCCATCATTGCAGCCACGGTGTCAGTCTGTCTTCCTGAGGGTCTTCCCCTTTTTCATTGACCCTGTACTCTACCAAGCACGATATTCTTCTCCAGGGACTGGTCCCTCCTGATAACATATCCAAAGTATGAGAGACGAAGTCTCACTAGCCTTGTGTCTAAGGAGCATTCTGGCTGTACTTCTTCCAAGATAGATTTGTTTGTTCTTCTGGCTGTTGTTGTTGTTGTGTGCCGTCGAGTCAGACCCGACTCATAGTGACCCCCTCCTTGGGTTTCCTAGACAGTCTCACTACGGAAGTAGATTGCCCAACTTTCCTTCTGAGGAGTGGCTGGGGAGTTTGAACCGCCAGCCTTCTGGTTTGCAGTCAAGTGCCTTAGGCACTACACTACCAGAGCTCCAGTATTCTTCACCAATGCCACAATTCAGATGCTTCAATTCTTCTTCAGTCTTCTTTATTCACTCCACTTATTCATTTATTGTCTCTTCTCTAGGCCTCATGTATTGAGTCTTTCCGTGGCATATGCATATTTTGTTTCTGGAGGAAAATTTTCTACCTGCCAATATGTTTCTAAGGAGCCCTGGTGGTGCACCAGTTAAGTGCTCAGCTGCTAATTGAAAGGTCAGCAGTGCAAACACATTAGAGGTTCCATGGAAAATAAACCTGATGATCTGCTTTTGTAAAGATTATAGCCTAGGAAAACCTGTGGAGCAGTTCTATCTGCATATGGGTTCACTATGAGATAGAATCGACTCTACCCACAGCACGCAACAACAACATGTTTCTAGGTGTCAGGAGGTTGGGAAGCAGGTCGCAGAGCAAAGATGCCAGTGAGGAAAGTAAAGTGGATGGCTTCTAATGGGGACTGCCTAGAATGGCCACAACCAGGCCACCTGTCTGGAGGCCAGCCATCTTGTTCCACTTAGTAAATGGCTATAGGTACAAAAATAAAAATAAAAAAAGAATATCATTGAGTGTGCTCTGTAATCTGCCACAGAATTTGTATTTGTTTGATTTGTTCACCCATGGCACATAGAAATCTTCTCTTCTTTAAAATAGGACAAGTTTTGTTTTATTTTAGAGTTTGTTTTTGGTTTTGCCTGCTCTTTACCAAAAAAAATATCCTTTCGCTTTGCTGGAACAGACAGAAGACAATATATCAGAACCACCTGCAGTGTGATTGGCCTAGATCGAGGCCACAGCCTGTCGTTCTCCATAGTCCTACCTCCTTGTGTGTCTGTGCTTCCTTTACTTTCTTATCTCCATTCTCTGTCTCTCATGCACCCATGGTGACTGTTGGCTTTGTGAAGAAATCTCTTTATGTCTTCCAAAAATAAGCTCCATCATGTTCTATTTTTAATGGGTTTGAAATGTCTGTTCTGCAAAAGATAAGGTCCCTGTAAAAAGAAGTCGGAAGCTGGAACCTCACACAGGGAAGAGAGGAATGTATGATGGAAGGGGAGCCGGTGATGGAGATAAATCAGATCCAGGCACTCTCCCTTCTGAACCTTTGCTGCCAAAGAACCTAGATTTCACATCCAAAAGGATATCAAAGCTCATGTAGCATTACCCCATGTGGGGAGAAAAACCTGTCCCCTGCCTCAGTCCTGGTGTTTGCGAGAGAGTTCCTAGAGAAGCCACAAACTAGCAGTACAAGCTGCAGGCATCATTTGGAGCTGGTTGATTGGCTCCCCGGCTTTGCCAACCCCTAAGCCATGGGTCATCAGCCTTACCCCCAGGAAACTGTAAGGTGCCTGTGTGAGGACATGGGTGACCAGTCACAATCCTACAAACAGTAGCAGAGGAAAGCACCTGCAATGCTGCAAATAGGAACTACTGTCAGACCCACCACCTCTCATTCATTCCAGGAGTTTTTGCAGAATAATCTCTTACTCTTTTCCCTCCTGACACCTGGATCTCTGTGTGTTCTGCTTTGTAGTTCTTCCCTTATGGCGATGCCTCCAAATTTGCCCAGCATGCATTCCGAACCTTTGACAAGAATGGGGATGGCACCATTGATTTCCGAGAGTTCATCTGCGCCCTGTCCATCACCTCCAGAGGCAGCTTTGAGCAGAAGCTGAACTGGGCCTTCAACATGTATGACCTGGATGGCGACGGCAAGATCACACGAGTGGAGATGCTGGAAATCATCGAGGTGAGTCTCTCTCAGGATGAGCTTGAGGCATGGCCTGGACCTGGGCCACAGGGCACTAACAGCACATCCCAAACAGCAGCTTCCTTGGTGCCTGTGGTGACTTATTTTATTCCCTAGTCAGGAGTGCTGCTACCTGAACATCAAGCCCTGATTTTCTGATCTCTGTTCCCCGCCTCCACTCCAGTGGAGTGCTGGGAAGTCACAGAACCAAGCTGTTGGATAGAAGGGACAGGACTGTCAATTGACAGCTGGTGTTTGAATCAGCCTCTCATCCTCAGTGAGATCTTATTGACCTCAAAGGAAATCAAGACTCAATTCCTCTCACTCTGGAGTTAGTTCTGTTCTGCTCTGGTGGGCGTAAGGTGCTATGAGCAGCTCTCAGTTTCCCTTCTAGGTCTCAGTTCATCCACAGAGAGCAAACATCTTTTGAAGTATCTCAGAACTCCAGTGCCAACTGCTCTGACTTCACCTTGTCCACACTCCTTATTGCATGTTGCCTTTCAGATACTTGGGCCTTCTTGATTCTCCTCTAACACTCAGTCCTTTCCCTTTACCCAGAAGGCCCTCCCTGGCCTGCTTCCTCACTTCACTAAAATCTGTGCTCACATCTTACCTCCAAGCGAAGCCGTCCTTCCCTCACCCACTATCTAAAACAGTGCCCATGCCTATTCTCTACCCCAGCACACTCTTACTGAGATGTGTTTATTGCTGCCCCAAATTACTTTCTACACTAAAATGAAAGGTCTTGAGGAAAACTCTGCTTGCTCAGTGCTGTTTCCTTAGAACCTAGAGTAGTGCCTGGAACCATAGAGGCACTCAGTAGCTGATGAATAATGAGTCAATGACTTGCCTTTGATTGAGTGTCTTAGGGTGTATGGCCACCACTTCACCAACCACTATGACCTAAGGAACAAAATGAACTAATCACTTTAGTCAAGAGCCAAGTGTCCCCTCCCCAGAGTTGGTGTGAAAGCCCATCCAGACCACAGACACTAAGACTGTGGGAAGGATGGATCCCCAAAGGAAAATTGGGGATGATTGCAAGAAATGGTAACCAAAGCCCAAGTAATCAAAAACCAAAGAACCAAAAACCCCAGATATCCATCATGCTACTCTGTCCCCTCTCCACTGCCTCTGAAAGAGAGAGATTTTTCCCTTTTCCTAACCCTCCTCAATATAGTCAGCTCCATTCTGACTGATGCTAAAGCTTTTATCTTTCACTTATACGGGAGCTCTGTGGTGTAGTGCCTAAGGTATTTGACTTCTAACTAGAAGGCTGGTGGTTCAAACCCACCAGACACTCCTCAGAAAGAAGGTTGGGCAATCTACTTCCATAGTGATGCTGCCTCGGAAACACAAGGAGGGGTCACTATGAGTTGGACTCGAATTGATGGCAGTGAGTTTAGTTTTTCGGTTTAGTCTCTCCCTCCTTTGGCTTCTTTCCATCCATCACCAATGCTCACTCCTCTCAAATATGCCTAACAACCTAATACATTAGTTCTCTGAAATGTATTAGAGAAATGTAGGCACTTCATTCAAGTAAGGGTATGCTTCTAATCAGGTTATGAGAAAAGGCACAGAATAAAAATTCTGCACATGTAGTTTACCCCTCTGCCATCAGTTTCTCATTTTTCTCACTCTTTAATCTTTTGTACACACTCCACTGGACTCTTGCCGAGTCTCTACAGCTTTCCTACCAAACAGACTTTTCCAAAATTATTTTCCTCTTTGACGTCTTGAAGGAGCTCTGGTAGCATAGTGCCTAAGGCATTTGACTGCTAACCAGAAGGCTGGCAGTTCAAACCACCAGCCACTCCTCAGAAGGAAGGTTGGGCAATCTACTTCCATAGTGATACTGCCTCAGAAACCCAAGGAGGGGTAGCCATGAGTCGGATATGACTCGACAGCACTGGGTTTGACTTCTTGACATTTTTTCCCCTGATCATTAGTCCTCCCCAAAACTCTTCTCTCTAATCCTTGGCAATGCCCTTCAGCAAAGACCACCAAGAACACACCTACAGTTGAACAAGTTAAGTTTATTACTCATTGCAGTGAGGGAACTGTGGGGTGATTCAGTAAGAGAGTGTTAGAAAAGACTTATTATAGGATTTGGACTTCAGTAGCATGTTTTGGGAGTCCTAGAGGAGTTCATTGAACAGAAAGGGCAGTGTCCAGGTGAGTAAACAATGAAAATTCTGATTATAGGGGAGTGTCATGAAAAAGAGAGAGTAGTGAAGGCCCATGTAACTCCATTGACGAAAGTCTTTCTGGAGAAGTGAGACCTGAGCTGTCTCAGAGGCTGAGTCAAATCTAGGCAGGCACAAGGTGGAAGAGACAGCATTTCAGACAGAGCCACAGAGACTTGTTTCCTCCCTTTTGCCTGTTTCCATACCTGTACCTTTGGCCCCTGAGGGACAAACATTGTGTCTGACCTGAAGTTCTGAGTGTGGGCATAATGGTTCCTTACATTCTATGGGAGCTCTGGTAGCATAGTGGCTAAGGCACTTGACTGCTAATCAGAAGGCTGGCGGTTCAAACCCACCAGCCACTCCTTGGAAGGAAGATGGGGCAATCTACTTCCGTAGTGATACTGCCTTGGAAACCAAGGAGGGGTCGCTATGAGTCAGGGCTGACTCGACGGCACATAACAACAACAATGTTCCAATTTGAATGAGAGAACATTTGAACCTTAATTACTTCATCTTAGGAAAGCATGGACAATAACATATCCTTTTTCAGAGAAAATAATGTAAATATTTTGATACATGCTAGAAGTGCCCCATAAAGCATACATGGCTAGGATTTCTTAGATTCTTTGGGGAGCATATACATATTACTTCTGAGTTTGGCACAGCCATGGCCTATGTCAGTGTTAAGTGTAATAGGCTGCATCTGGAACATATTTTCTTGGTTGTCATATTCAAGGTCCAAATTTCAGGGCTGCAACATGCCAGGACCAGTTGCTGTTGAGTCAGTCCTTCCTCATGGAGACCCCGTGTGTATCAGAGTAAAGCTGTGCTTCACAGGGTTTTTAATGACTGGTTTTCTTTTTCTTTTTTCAATTCCAAAGTACAAACCTTGAACCTTTAAGTTAGTAGTGAAGTGTGCTAGCAGTTTACATCACCCAGAGGCTTTGGAAATGGTTAATAAGACTCAGCCATTGTCTGAATTGTGAGATGAGGTCCAAGATGAACCTCTTGTGTTTATATTTCTTACTATTCTGACTTTATAATGAGTGTGTTTGTATTAATGGCTGTCTATATCCATTGCCTCATGTAATCCCCATTAATTTCACCTTCTAAGGGACATGGTAAGGGGGACAGTTTACATATAGATGTCTCACTTGTCCTTTTCACTAAATTCCAGATATTATATGCAGTCTCTGTTTTTCTCTACATACACCACTCTGGATACTAGGCTAATCTGGACCCATCCGCAAGTTCCCCACAAAATTAGAAATTTCAATAATCTGCTTCTTTTAAAGTGCTTGTTGGCTATCATCTACACCTTAAACTCTGAATCTTCAAAACAGACTCCATCGTTTTTTCCCAAAACCTGCTCTTAATCCTTTAGTCTTCATCTCACTGCTGAGCTATTCTTTCTACCCACTTCCTCCAGCCAGAAACCTGGGAGTCATCCAAAATGCCTGTCTATCCAATTGGTCGCATGACCCAAACACATTTTAGTACATCACTTTCTTGTTTAAAATCATTTAAGGAGTCTTTCCAAATGCATGTAAATCCTTTATCATATCATAGGAGACGGTGATGGTCTGATTCTTGCTTCCATCTCTCATCTTCATCTCTCATCAACACTTCATGTGACAGTGCCTCCTCTTGCCTCTACAACCCACATATCATGTTCTAGCAAATATGATGTACTTTTTTTTCTCATTCAATTAACATTTATTGAAGGCCTACTATGTGTCAGGCACTGTGCCTTACCCTGGAGTTACAGGGGTAAGCAAAACATTCATGATTCCTAACTTCATAAAATATACTCTCTGATAGGGATGACAAACCAGTTATTCTAATAAACTGTGAGATGTCTCTTAATGAGTAACCATGCTATGGGGTGCTCTGGGGACTTTCAGCACAAGAAGTGACCCTCCTCTGGGGAGAGGAAAGCCCTTACAGAGGTTCCATGTATACTGAGGCTTGAAAATGAACAGGATCTAGTCATATGAAGGGGGAAGGAGAAGAGTCCTCTGTCGTACCGGGTTTCTGATAATACCGTGTATAATATTCTTCTTCCCAAGGCCATCTACAAAATGGTGGGCACTGTGATCATGATGAAAATGAATGAGGATGGCCTCACACCTGAACAGCGAGTAGACAAGATTTTCAGCAAGATGGATAAGAACAAAGATGACCAGATTACATTGGATGAATTCAAAGAAGCTGCGAAGAGTGACCCTTCCATTGTATTACTTCTGCAGTGTGACATTCAGAAATGAGCTGATGTCAGCACTATGGACAGCACAAAAGTCTCAATGTTCCATTCAGTCTGCAGCTATTTACACACACACACACACACACACACACTATTGCTTGGACTACCTAAAAATGGACTTGCTTCTTGTGTTTGAAACACTTGTGTGCATGAGAATGTCATTTGCTAATGAATTTTAAAAGCATCTGTTATAAAACAAACAAACAACCTGCCACAATGTGATACATGTAATATCATTTCATAAAAAAAAAATCCTCTTCTCCAAAGCCTGGGCAGAAATGTGCTGCAAAGAGTTAAATGATTTCTTGTTCATGTTTTGCTAATGCTCTGTCTCCTTGATTACATAATGTTAGTGGCACTGAGACCCCCATGGTAATGTAAATTAGAAGCTGTGTCACCATTCTCCTGTAAAATAGTACTAGATAGACAGGCAGAGGGGCCCTTGGCTCCTGTGTCTGCTCCACACACAAGAGCTTGTATTATCAGTGAATATAAATGTCCATTTGCATGCCGTTTAGGTTTGCCTTAATTTTTACCTCATTTGCATCCTATCAATCTGGAAAGAGTCGTGTTGGATGAGTGCAGTATAAAATTTAAAAACCCTGCTGTAATGACTCATTAATTAAATCTATCTATCTATATATACAGATACACAAAGATATTATTTATTGGAAGTAAAAAAAGAAAAAAAGGAAGTGTATTGATTTTTGTTTGAATTTTCAAAGGCTCCCAAAGAAATTGCACTAGATATCCCAAATAAATTTATAACATTTGACATTCCCCCCATTCTTATTTTATAATCTGAAATTGGAAATGATGTTTAAAATTATCAAGGCTTGCTTTTAACAACTCACTAAATCTACCCTTAGACACACAACTTTGGAATTTGAAGAATTATTGACAACAAAAGGGAATAAAGCAACTTTCTAACTCTCCAATCTGGCCCTCAAAAGAGGGATAATTAACATGGCATGTGAAGTTTAAATAAAACACAAGACTAACTCAGCCTCAAAAAATGCTTATTATAAGACAATAATTTGTCTCTCAGAGTTACTCTGGTGCTAATAACACATTACGTCCTACACAACTATGTGGAGAATGCATTTAGGAGACTGAGATGTATTCTCCAGAGAAAGCCAGTCCGAAAGATGACTTTTGTTTCCAAATCAAAAGTATATTAGTTGTTATTTTTAATGAGGAAACAAAGCTCTGATCCTTTTGCCCTTAAGGAAAGAAGCAAAAGAGATCCATTCCATCAGGAACTCTAAAGGCAGGTTTGCGTTTTCACAACATAACTGGGGAAGTTTAGATTCTTTATATCCTGTCATCCAATAGAACTTTCTGCAATGATGAAATGTTCTAAGTCTGCACTGGCCGCTAGGTATATGTGACCACTGAGCACTTCAAATATGGCTAGTGTGACAGAAGAATTGATTTTTAAGTTAATTTAATTTTAGTTAATTTAAATTTAAATTACCACATGTGGCCAGTAACTATTGTATCAGACAACAAAAGTGCTATACTATGCATTGAAGTACTTTTTATTGAGCGTTTCTTTCTTCCTAAATACTCCTCCTTTGTCTTTGGATCATTAGATGAGACCAGAGACCAGGGCCTAATGATTCCATTCATCTATTCACTAAGAAGCCATGACCAAGCAAACTTTTCTAACACATTTACAAGAACAATGGTACCTGAAACACTGATAGAACCAAATTCTGATCCCAGAGAGTATAATGTGCTAACAGAATGTCTTGGTGCTCCTAAACTTTGTGCTTAGTGAGTTTACGTAATAGAAATATCCCAAATGTAGAGGAGAGATTAAGGAGGTTTGTTGCTGCCCAATACTCTACCCCTCCAAGCTGGGTGGCATAGTGTCTAAGATATTTGACTGCTACCAGAAGGTTAGTAGTTCAAACCCACAACCCACTCTGTGGAAGGAAGATGAGGATTTACTGCCTTGGAAACTCAATGTGGGTCACTATGAGTCAGAATCAACTCAATGGGAGTGGGTTTAGCATTTTTTTTTTGCCCCCACTAAAGGGCAGGGACAGAGACATGGGAGTCTCCTTAGAGTGACATCCAGTTAAACCAGGCTCCAATCATTTCATTCATAACAAATCTTCATTGATCATCTACTATGCACCCAACAACGTTCTTGGGGGAGGGGCAGACAATAAATAAACACACAAAAGTATTGTAAGAATCAGAAGGAAAGCACAGCAAGAGGAGTGCAGAATGAGAGAATATAGCAGTGGCAATAGGATGGTAAGTGACATTTGAGGAAAGGCCTGAATGAAGAAAGGAAGTAAATCATGTGGATATTTGGGGCAGCTATGGAAAACAAACCCTCCAGCCAGCTCATAAATAAAATGCAGAAATTGGGCCAGCCAGTGAACATCTGGTGTGTTAGCTTGTTTCAGTCTTCATGGCTGTGGTCGTGTAGAATAGTGCAGGGATCCTGGAGAGCAATCCAGCAGTAATTAGTTACAATAAGAATGCATATGCCCTCTAGCCCAGCATTTCTACCCCTGGGTATGTTGCCTTAAGAAACTGTCACAGAAGGTCATTGGAGACATGCCCCAAGATGTCCACAGCACCTCTTGATACTTGTGGATATTGGAAATAATCTTATGGTTTATTATTAGAGGAATGGGAAAGTAAAATATGTGGATGCACCCTCAGGCATAAGACACAGCAGCTGCAAACAACAGATTGATGTACCCAGAGCAACATGGACATATTTTTAAATTGCTGAATAAGGGAAAAGAAACAATGGGATTTATTGCACAGTATAATGTATAGAAAAGAAATACATTCTCACAAAACAAACAAACATGTTTTACAATGACACATAAACTAAAAGGCAACTTCACATAATGGTTTCTTTGGGGGTGGGTATGAATGGGAGTGTTCCAATTACCACTGCTCCATAAAAATACACCCTCAATACCTAATGTTTCTGGGTTCCACCCATGTCTGCTCTGTGACGTTAAGTTATTAACCTAATATCTTTGTATCTCAATTTCCTCAACTATAACATGAGTATCGAAGGAAGGTTGGGCAATCTACTTCTGTAGTGATCCCACCTCAGAAACCCAAGGAGGGGTCGCTCACTATGAGTCAGGTCTGACTCAGTGGCACACAACAACAACAACATAACATGAGTATAATGACATATAACTTGTGAGATGGTTATAAAAATTAAAAGAAACAAAATATGCAAAGCATCTATTAAAAAAAAAAAAACTAGTGTTTTAAAATAACAGCAATCCTTTGATTATTTCTCATGGGTTCTATGGAACATTCATTTGAGAATGGCTCACTGGTTTGATTCTGGGTTGAGATCTTTCAGCCAGTTCCAGTCAGATGATAGCTGGAGCTGAAACAGACGCCTGGGGCAGCTGAGAGCTAATTGAGCATAGCTCCTTCTTCTTGTAGTCTCAGGACTTCTCCATATGCGCTATTTTGTGCTTCCTCACAGCATGGCAACTTCACAGTAGTCATAGTACTTACTTGGTGGTTCGTGGTTCCTACACAGAAGTCGGAAGTTCTATCACCTTTTCTGATCTAACCTCAGAAGTCATGGAAGATCACTTCCACAGCATTCTAGTGGTCATAAGCAAGTCATAAACCCACTCTTATACTCCATTTCTTCATAAGATGTGGCAAGGTTTTAGAGCATGTGGTGTGGGGATATTGTTGCCACTATCTTTGGAAAATACAGTGTGTCACAGTCTGCCCTATGATCATAATTCACATTCCTTACATGTGCAAAATATACTCACCATCTCCCAATACATCCCAGAAGACATATGATTATGAGTTTAGTATAAGAATTGAGGTTCAAGATTTAATCAAAAAGCCTCCTCAGATGTGGCCCCTCAAGTAAAGCACAGTGAGTACTGTTTTTAATTCAATGGCCTGTGAAACAAAGGAAAAATTTCTCTCTCTACTTCAAATACCTAACATACAATGACAGAACAGACATAGGATAACTATAATAACAGAGAAATCTCTTCAAAAAGGATAGAAATGGAAACCACATAGCAGTCCTTGTTGTTGTTGTTGTTTGCCGTCGAGTCGGCCCCGACTCATAGCGACCCCTCCTTGGGTTTCCGAGGCAGTATCACTACTGAAGTAGGATTGCCCAACCTTAGTCCATAGTAATTCTGAAATCAGCCAGTTAAATCTTGTAAATTACTTTATGGGCGTTTAATCCTACTCTCTGGGGAGGTTAGTCCTACTCACTGTTCTCCATGGCTCTTGATTATTATGCCTTTTGTGCTCTTGTTTTCATCCTCTGAGCCATCCTTTTTCAAAAAATAAAGTCTATATTTATAGCTGAGGAGTTTTCTCAGCCTGCTGCCTGCCCATATATTTAGGTGTTATGAGTTCAGTTTTAAAAAATAGCCACTATAATGTCCACTTTTGGGTAAAAGAGTTTTATTTAGGCTCGCCGACTGCAGGGAGCTGAAGCGCGCTCCTATGCTGCAGCAACAAGTCTGATTTTAGGCAGGCTTTATAAAGTAGGCAAGCAAGCCATAATACAGAAGCAGAAGCTGCAGTTTCAAGGTCTTAGAGTACGTGCTTTGGCACAGGCATTCATCGAGGGGTGAGGGGAGTTAGTTTTGATAACCACCTTGGAGTACGTGCTGTAGCACAGGTGTCCATCGAGGGGTGATGGGAGTTAGTTCTGATAATCACCCCAAAGTACGTGTTCTAGCACAGGTGTTCACTGAGGGGTGATTTAGCTGCTTTGTGTGCCTAGGAGGGAGGAGAAGAAAAAGACAAAAGGGGCACCTCCTAACTCACCGGGAGTGGGAGCAGGATGAGATGTTTACTTCAGCCACATAAAAATGGAGTTTTAGCAAGATATTGCCAGCCATAGCTGGATATTACAAAAATAGAGTTACAAAATGGAGTCACTTACTTCATAGGTGTACAAAGTCTTCTCATTTTGTAGTCTTTAACCCTCTTGGTATAAGCTGATATAATTCTTTAAAAAACCTTGCAGATTTCTTATGTATAAACTTCTAAAATTCCCTCAGTTAGAGAAGATCTTACAGTGAGATTGATGTGGAACACCTCTAATGCTCTGAGCAGCCCTATTATGTAATGAAAGTAGCTCTGGTGGGTCAGAACATAGCACATTTTGCTGCTAACCAGAAAGTTAAAGTGGTTTAAATCCAACAGCTGC